TATCCACACTCAGACGCCCAAGCTGTCTTCACCTGACTGTTACAGACTTGGAAACACGGCTTCACAATACTGCACAGAACCCGTGCAGTAGAACCAGTCGTTCTTGTACACAAATACTCCAACACAGACAACTGCTCTTCCAGGAGCGTGCGCACCTAGTTGCCTGCAGACAACTACTCTTCTTCCAGGAGCGTGCGCACCTAGTTGCCTGCTGACAACTACTCTTCCAGAAGCGTGCGCAACTAGATGTTTACGAACAACTAGCCGGTAATTGTCGGCAAACAACTGACTTTAGTTAGTTATTAGTTAAAGTTGTACAGGGTGTGAACAGTTTGCGTAAAAACGGCGATGTATGTAGAGCTGGCTTCCTTTTGGGAATACACAAACAGAGCTCGCTGTCGTTCTACAATATTTCCCAAACAGTTCTCTTTCGGCTTCCACTCCTACCAACGAAGAGTCCACCGTCCCGGTGCCGAGCAGTTCCTCCGGCACCCCGAGAGAGTCCCTCAGTCACTCATGGCATTAATAGGCTTGACCCTCCGGTCCAACAGGCTTTGCGGGTGGCCCCATACGGCATCGCCAACCAAAGATAATTTGTGCCCAGTAGCGCATATAGCGCACCTCCGGGTATGCGAGGTGCTGAGTGTCGTACTCCTCATCCGCCAAGACCACATCCCTGGGCCTTTGAAGAAGACCATTAACTCTTCCGCGGGCGATGAAACGGGCCTTAGGGCAGCTGTAACGACAACCTCCGCCGTTTCTTACAGCGCGGTTGCCGAGCTTTCTCGCCGCCAACCGAAGAAGTGTACCGCGAACACGGACGATGACGTCGGGGGATAAGCTAAATGTAGACATGCGAAGCGTACGGAAAAGGGTGTCGGGAGCAAACCTGCGCCTTTGACCGAGCTACGGTAGCAATCTAAAACCCTCCTCAGTCTGACGAAACAATCACCAAGCGAGAAAAGCGGTGATGGCGGGTGTCGGTGGAACATGCTTTCACAATCTGAAACCGCCGGCTGGCGGGGTTGGGTTCGCGAAGCGTTATTGGAACCCTATTTTGGAACCCCATGAATACATCGCCGTTTTGGCCGTTGGCTGGCCCCCCCCCCAGGTTGGTGGTTTGCACTCCGCAGTACACTCGGTCACTCGTTGTCGCACTCAGTACACCCACCGCCGTTGCAGTCTAACATCGGAAACCCCAACCCGGCTGGACTGCAGAGTTCGTCGTGTGCGAGGCTGCCTTCTCGCAGACCTACAGACTCAGAGTACCCCGGCTTGCGTAATACAGCGGCGGTCAGCAGCAGCATGTCGCTCATGAATATCAAGCTCGAGAGCAACCACTCGTCGTGCTCAGAGACGGAGGTGGGGATGGGGAGCACCGGCATCAGCGAGAAAGCTCAGGAGTCTGGCG